GGAATTGGAGATTCTTGGTTAAATACTTAGAACTCTGGAGAGCAGACTCTTCAGGGTCCTGACTTTGAATCATATTAACTGCCCCTGCTGATGATATCAGAATTTTCTCTAAAATAAATGACTTTATTTGTATATTTTATCCAGTAACATTCACTGAATGGCTATTGAAAATAATCTAATTTAGAGCTGAAATCTTCATACAAAAGCAGAACTCTTCTAAAGCCTAATTTTGAAAAGGGCTACAGGATGAACCGTGTGGTAGGACCCTTGACATTCTGAAAACTTATGTAAGTTAACCAACTCTTCGTGATTGTGTCTAGGGTGAATATGTACCTAAGTCATGGTTTACCACTTCTCTTCTGAGGACATAGCTTTTAGAATGAGCTGAAACTAAATATCCTGTCATTCACCCCTGGGAGTGGCCTTGAAATAAAGTGCAATCAGAAAGGGAAAAACAACAAAAATGCTTAAACACATCTGAAGAGCTCAGATTGAAAAGAGGTTTTCTCCTACATCTATGTGCACACAGCACAAGATCACAGTCTTCTCATTCAAATATATTGGTATTCTGGGACCTTAAATCATCACTACTTGATACTTCTTTTCTTATGATACTGTTTCAAGTATACTGAAATATTTGGCCACATTTTATATGTTGATATCTCTCTTTGAAGGTCTCATTCCCCACTTTACTGACGTGGACCACATTGTCCTGCATAGTATCTTGAACCTCTACAAGGACTTATGAACTAGTCAGAAACATAAAGGTATGTGCATGTGGATTCACTTGACAAAAGAAACCAAAATATTCGTACAATCTATCATTACCCTGGCTTATAAGACATTTCAATATCAACCTCAATTGAGGACAATGACTATACCCTATCAAGGACTTTAGGCTTAAACAAGAATGGTAACTTTTCTGCACAAGGGCCAAAAACCCATTTTCCAAAATATCTTCCCTGGCCTTGGAGTGCTTTCTATTCAGGGCCTGGGTACTGTCCCTGAGCTTTGGTAATAAAGGAATAAAAGTGTTGACAGTCTATCAACTTCATTCACAGCATTACTTGTGGGAAATTTGGTGATAATTGGCCATAACACTTTTACAGCTATTCCTACCTAGTTTGCCTTTCAATTGTGATCTTTAAACCTCATACTCTTGAGCAAGTAAGAATCCCAATGTGAAGCACCAGTGCCCTGTTAGATCAGGAGATCTTAATTACTTGATCCAAACAGGACTCATGGTGTCCACATAACAGGATATAAAATTCATAACATCATATAGCCATATGCAAAGGTCCTTTTGCAATCACTTGGTAAAGGACTGTTTACCTATCATTGGCTAAACCACACCCAAATTCTTCTACTAAATATTTGGAAGAATGTATTGGTTACACGTATCTTATTATTGGTCCTCAGGTTGAATTCAGGGGCAAAAATTTGTGAGGCTTCCTTTACCTTCTATGCCAGGTGCCCTTTTGTATCACTGATTTTTCACATTAGGGTCTTGCATCTCTGCCTGGGCCTTTCAACACACTAATTTTATAATTACATATCACAAGTAGCAAAAAAGATAGGCACATATAACCAGAGCCATGCTTTTATTGGCTAAGATACCATTTGCATGGAGCTTTTGCACGGGATGGCCTACAAAGCTATCTAATTTCAGCTTCCTGAATAGTTAGGATTCCACACATGAGGGAGTGTAATTGCTCATTTTTAATTGCTGGTCTGAAATTAAAAGAGGAAAGGGTACTTTACCAAGTCAGTGAACATTAAGTCCCTTAAATTCTGAATTCAAGCAAAGTTTTGGCCAAATGATAATAACAAAAATAATTCAAAACATTAATAAAATATGTTATCATCAGGCATACTTTTAATGAATGTGGTATTTTGGTTCATAATTTGAGGTATATAACAGGCCTAGGTAGGACTCCAGTCTGTGAACCATCCCTTCTCAGAAAGCATACAGTTTGTAAACATGGGAGTTGAGAGATTTCCAAATGGATAGTGTGGGGGGGGGGGTACAAATATGAAGGCCAAGGGCACAGGTGCCTTCCAATGCCATTTTTTTTACTAGGCCTCTGTAGATAAGCAGAAGGGTTGGGCTTGGAAGGTCGCTCAGTGTTAGAGCACCTGCCATGCATGCATGAGGTCCTGGGTTCGATTCCCCAGCACCACATAAGCAAAAAGAAAAAAAAAGCTGGAAGTGGCACTGTGGCTCAAGTGGTAGAGTGCAAGCCTTGAGCTGAAGAGCTGAGGGACAGCACCCAGGCCCAGAGTTCAGGCCACAAGACCAGACCTCTCACCCCAAAAAAGAAGAATGGTGAACAGTGTGATGGAAGGGGTTAAGCGAGCAACTAGCTAAATCTTGCAATGTGAAGTCCACTGTCCTTATCTTGTAAATGGAATCATAGGCAGGATTTAAGGATTCCTTTTTTTATTATGAAAATACTGTAAAGAAGAGTTATTATTTTTAAACAATTGAAATAAATACTGAAATTCTTGAAGCCACAGGAAGCCTGAGCTGAAGCACTGAAGGAAACCTCCTGTTCACAGAGACAGATTTCATCAGAACAGCCCACAGGGCTCATGCTTTGATTCCTAGCTTTTATGGAGGCCAAGATGAGAGAATCTCCATTGAAGCCAGCTCCCGCTGGCTTCAACTCAGTTCCTGAGTTCAAAACCTCATATTGGCACAAAAACATTCCTTCATGAATGTGTGAAAGTATTGCTCTTCATGTAACCAAACAGCTCTGGACATATCTAGAATGACTGGCTTATATAGGATCAGGAGCCTTGGTCTTGGTTTATTAATTAAGCACTTTCTGATGTAACAGAAATTTCTTCTAAATGCCTCCAGGATATCTTTAATTGCATAAATATACAGTGGCATCTATCTTGGCTCTAGAAATTCTGTTAGGTCAACCTTTATGTTTCTGTAAAAGAAGACAGTATATTTGTTGGAAGCTACATTATGGTAGATGGAATATTGGAGTCTATTACACAGCTAGCAGTCTGCAAGCAGCCTGTTGTAACAAAGACTTGCAGTCCAAAAATACACTTAGACAGCTTGGAAATAGGACAGAAGGTTGGGGGAGGAGAATAAAACCAGCAATGAGAAACCAATCAGCACCAAGAGAGTGCTGAATTGGGACACTATGATGACCAGAGACAAGCCAGGAGACAGCACACAGGACATGATTACAGAGATATGTGGCATGGCATCTGATGCCACTGCTGGGCCAGCCTAAGTAGGGCCTAAGCAGGAGGCAGGTCTACAGGAAATTCCCAGTCCCAGGCACTGGACTATCAGTTTGAGTAACGTATCAGCCAAATGCCCATGCCTGCTTGCAGGGATCCAGCCACACCTATCAGTTGGGTGGTAAGTGATGGATGGGGCATTTCTTTCCCCCTGCATGAAAACAAGATGCCAGACCCCACCATCCACCATCTGGCCAATAGGGCACCAGCCACACCTGACCTCCTTACTAAATATTACTGTATTATTAAATCAATTTATAAAATGTTACATCCTCTTTATCGTTTTGTAACATTCAAAAATTTGCTTTTTTAAAAGCCATTTTTCTTGAGGCCCACCTCTGAAAGAATAATTCTCACATTCACCAAAAATTAAACATTCTTCTTTTGAATAGTTCATTTCTTCCTTCTCCTCACTCCTTCGCTTCCTCTTTCCCTCTCTCACTTCCCTCCTTCCTTCCTTCCTTCCTCTCAGGGCCTAGAAGTGATGCTGTAGCTCAAATGGCAGATGATTTTATTATTTTGTTAACTTCAATTTTTGTGAGAGATTGATCAATATATTTGTGTGCTTGATTATTTCTCCTAATGTCATATCTACTTTGGCCTTCTATGAGATAACACAGATACGACACATCTTCCACACTGGTGTTTTATTATAGCTCACTCAGCAGAACAACTAAATGGGCTAAGAGTGAATCAATCACAAGTTGTTCATCAACAGTGATTAATTAAAGAAATGTGCAAGCACTGAAGACACTTTGGGGTTCTCCCCTAAGACAAAATGCAGAGATTCTAGTCTTTATTAATCTATCATATTTTTTAAATATATATTTTATTGTAAAGCTACTGTATCGATTGGTTATACCATTATATGAGTTAGGTCATTAATACATTTTCTATCGAGCATTGTTACCCCTCCAAGAAAGACCTTATTATTGTTATTACTTTTTCTAGAAAAGTTTTCCATTTTTTCTACATATGCTTTTTCTCCTCTTTGTGTGTGAGGGTGTGTGTGTGTGTGTTTGTGTGTGTTTTGTGTGTTCTGTAATGAACCCTGAGCTGTGTCTTGTAGTTCGAGGACTCCACATCTGCAATATCATAAGGTCTCTATCCTGTATTGGTTCTGTATTGCAATTTCAATTTTCTTACAGATCAAAGACTTTCCCATTTGGTACAATCCTAAGTTATTTCATTTGTGTGAGTGAACTTACATGTGTTAAGCTGTGACCTCCAGGTCTTTCCACATTGGTCGCATTCATAAGGTTTCTCTCCTTGTGTTCTGTGATGGATGTTAAGTTGTGCCTTTCAGGTGAAAGAATTTCCATGCCTGCTACATATATAACATTTCTCTCTGGTGGGTTTTTTTCTGATGGACAGAAAGGTGTATGTTCTGGATGAAAGACTTTCCACATAGCTTACATTCATAAAATTTCTCTCCTGTGTGTGCTGTCTGGTGGATAGTAAGTTGGAGCTTCTGGCTGAAAATCTTTCTGCAAATATGACATTTGTAAGGTTTCTTTCCTGTGTGTTTTCTGATGGACAGTGAGGTTTGACTTCCAGGTGAAAGTCATTCCACACATGTTACATTCATAAGTTTTCTTTCCTGTGTGTATTATCTGATGGACATTGATGCTTGACTTCCAAGACAAGGACTTTCCACACATGTTACATTAATAAGGTCTCTCTAATGTGTGTGTTTTCTGGTGCACAGTAAGGTTTCTTTTATGGGTGAAAGACTTTCAACACAAGTTAAATTCATAAGGTTTTTCTTTAGTATGTGTTCTCTGGTGGCGAGTAAGCATTGATTTCTGGGTGAAAGACTTTCCACACATCTTACATTCATAAGGTTTCTCTCCTGTGTGTGTTCTCTGGTGCAGAGGAAGATATTCCTTGCAGGAGAAAGACTTTCCACAAATGTTACATTCAAAAGGTTTCTCTTTTGTGTGTGTTCTCTGGTGGCGAGTAAGCTTTGATTTCTCAGTGAAAGACTTTCGACACATGTTACATTCATAAGGTTTCTCTCTAGTATGTGTTCTCTGGTGGCGAGTAAGCATTGATTTCTGGGTGAAAGACTTTCCACACATCTTACATTCATAAGGTTTCTCTCCTGTGTGTGTTCTCTGGTGCAGAATAAGATATTCCTTGCAGGAGAAAGACATTCCACAAATGTTACATTCAAAAGGTTTCTCTTTTGTGTGTGTTCTCTGGTGGCGAGTAAGCTTTGATTTCTCAGTGAAAGACTTTTGACACATGTTACATTCATAAGGTTTCTCTCTTGTGTGTGTTCTCTGGTGGCGAGTAAGCTTTGATTTCTGAGTGAAAGACTTTCCACACTTGTTACATTCATAAAGTTTCTCTCCTGTGTGTGTTCTCTGGTGGAGAGTAAGATATGCCTTCCAGGAGAAAGACTTTCCACAAATGTTACATTCAAAAGGTTTTTCTTTTGTGTGTATTCTCTGGTGGACAGTAAGGTGTGTCTTCCAGGTGAAAGACTTTCCACACATGTTACATTCATAAGGTTTCTCTCCTGTGTGTGTTCTCTGGTGTCTAGTAAGATATGCCTTGCATATGAAAGATTTTCCACAAATGTTACATTCAAAAGGTTTCTCTTTTGTGTGTGTTCTCTGGTGGACAGTAAGCTTTGATTTCTGGGTGAAAGACTTTTGACACATGTTACATTCATAAGGTTTCTCTCCTGTGTGTGTCCTCTGAGGGACAACTGGGTGTTTCTTCTCAGTGAAAGACTTTTCACACTGTTTTCGTTCGTCAACTACAGAAGACACATGAGGACTATATGCAGCACACATCTTACCAGGTTCACTGAAAACACCCATGCTCTGACAGCCAGTGACCTTTTCTATCCTCATCCCTAAGGAGTTCCCATTATTCTTAATCAGTTCTGACTTCTGTATGGAGCTCAAATGAAAACTTCTTATAAGTCTCACTTTTTCCTCCCCTGGGTTACAATTCATGACTGCTACTTCAGAGAGATATTTATTGTGACGTTCCTGGCAGGTGCTAATCACATCCTCCATTTCTGGGACATCTAAAGTGAATAATAGAAAAATAAACAAAAACATAAATGAGATCCATAAATTCCTTAATGTAAAGATATTTCCTCACATTCTGTTACAATATTTTCAAATATCAAAGCATTGCTTTATGCAGAATATATATATTTCTCTGCAATGTAGTAATTAAGAAAGTAGTACTGACATTTTACAATGGAAAATAATGTTTTTCTGTATTTCAGATTTTTATATTTTTCTTAAGGAAATATTTACTCAAATTATTCATCTCCATACTCTTAATGCTTCCATTCTGAATCTCCCTCTATGCCCAGCACCACAGATAAGAAATTGTCCTGATCCTATTTTCCTCCTACCTGCAAAATACTAGTTTAAAATAAAATGAGATCTCCTTACTATATTTCTTATTGTCTTTTTCTCTCTATGAATGACTTCTCTACTGCTGCGGACCGGGTTCTGTCGGGACGACGGAGGATACCTAGGGGAGGAACCTGGAATAGGATGGGGAGATGGCAAACAGACAACTCACACACATTAGGAGTGGATGCTGAGTGCTGAGTGCGATTTAATGCAGAGGATAACAAACTTTTATAACAGAAGTCTTCATAAGAAAGGGGCAAAAGGTTACACAATCTTGCTGCAAGGCTTCGTTCTTGGATGGTCACCAGCTGGTCGCCTGAAAGGGCAAAAGTTTACACAATCTTGCTGCAGGGCTTCATTCTTAGGTGGTCACCAGCTGGTGGCCTGAAAGGCACTTGTTTCCGGCTTATCTCTAAGAAATATAATGGGTTTCGACGTTTGTCACCAACTAACCATTACCTTATTTCTATAGAGGCCTTAATTATCCCATAAGATTTTTCCTGTTCCTTCTTTAATAGTAAGGTCACGGAGGCCTAGATCTAGCAAGTCTCAGTAAATGAGAGTACCAGGAAGTTCTTTCTCCTAAGTAGTTATCTCAGCAATTGCCATACATTCCTTCTGTTCTAGCCGCGCCTACAGCTTCTTGTAAATTTCTTACAATTCCTTCTGCTGGAGTGACTTTGTGAAACCCCCAATACTTTTATATTTGCTTATAACTTGTCTACTAGCCTTCATAAGAGGGGTTGCAGGGTAGCACTTAACTCTGGTGAGTTAGTCATATTTTTGAGACATTCATCAGATATTGGAGTCGTCAACACTCTTAAGAAAGAGCTTTGAATAAGGGAACATTGACAAAGAGTAAGCACAATGAGCAGCAGAAACAGTAAAAGATTAATAGGCACTCTTATACAGTGAGGAAAAGAAAGGCAGAAACACATCTTTCCCAGGGGCTTGCCAGCCTTTTTCCAGGAGTAGGCCTTTTAGAAGCCCTATTCTCCGAGGTAGACTTCAGTGAAGTCCCAAAACTTGGAGATAGGTTTCTGTAAAGCCCCATTCTCTGAGGTAGACTTCAGTGAAGTCCCAAAACTCAGAGATAGGTCTCTGAAGCCCGTATCTTGGTCTGATAGATGGTTTCCCATGCTAAGCAGACTCCACTGGAGTCGGCGTGGCACTCTACAGACAAAAAGAATTGCTAACATTAACTACACTGGAACATCAAATTCAGTTTGTCTCCACGAGAATTCTGGATTGACAATCCCTTGAGACAAAGGATCATCTAGTTCTCTGCCACATATGACTCCAGGGCACTAGGAATACCATTGCTCTGTACAGCTCAAGATAAACAGACCCACTGGGCTCTGGACCCAACATTACTATTCAAGATGCTTTAACTCACCTGTGAAATTCTCTTCTGAGCCTTCTCTCATCCATGGTTCTGCACCTTGCTCCAGCTTCACAATCAATATAGGTTTAGGAACACAGTGCCCTGTGAATAAGAAATAGTGGAGAACTATTGCTCTTGCTGGGTCATCATTAATGTAATGTTGCAGACATCCTGTTCACTGGGTTGCTCCTAAATCTGGTATCTCAATTGTTTTATTTTTGGAAAGGTAGGATCGGTTGTGGGGCCTGAACTCTGAGCCTGGGAGCTGTATCACAGCTCCTAAGCTCAAGGCTAGCACTCTACCACTTGAGCCACAACACCAATTCGGGCTTTTTTTTCTGCTTTTTTTCATGCTGAGGAATCGAACACAGGGCCACAAGCATGCAAGGCAAGGGCTCTACCACTGAGCCACCTTCCCAACCCATGGTGTCTCAATTCTTAACATCTCCATGGTGTACTTTCCCTCAGCTTTGGGTTTATTTTGCCAATGTGTGGCTTGAACTCAGCACTTTTGCTCAAATCTAGCATTCTACTAGTTTGTGTCTTGGATACATTTCTAGTTTTTGAATGGTTAATTGGAGATAAGAGTCTCGTGTTCATTTTTCTACAGTTGCTTGCTTCAAACCAAAATCTTCAGATTTCAGCCTACAGAGTATCTAGGATTCCAAGCTTGAAGCAATGCAACCTATGTCAGGTTTGGCTTACAAATACACACTTTCACACTTTCACCTACTGATTTCCAGATCATACTGACAGTAGTAATGTATATTCTATCTAGACTGTAGATCCACCTATCATAATCACCCCAAGTCTGGGAAGTCAGTTTCCTGTTAGTGGATCATAGTTTAGAACTTTTGTCCAACTACTAATTTGCCTTCTTAACGAATGAGAATAAAATTAGCTCTTGAGTTACATATAATGAAGTTGAAGTTTCCCTTAGAAAGAAATGACACTTGCATTGGACTGGAATCTTTTTTTTTTTTTTTAACAAAATGTAATGGTCCAAAGGCTTACACTTGTAACACTACATTTAGGAGGTAAGATCAGAAGAGGCAGGCTTGAAACCAACCTGGGCACAGAAACACAGAATATACCCCAAAACAAAATCCAAAATGGAGTTGTGGCTCAAGCAGTAGTGTGAAAGGCAAACAACATCAAGCTCCCAGACCTGAATTTGCCTGGATTTTATACTAGCAGTTCTTTACCTGGGAATGGACTGGAATCTTGTACCTAAATAACATAGTCAAATGTCTACTAAAATAAAAGCACTTTCCAAATAAAAGTGACCTTTGCTCACCCAATGACATTAGGTGGTTATAAGTCTCCAGCATCACTTCTCTATGAAGGGTCCTCTGACCAGGATCCAGATCCTGCCACTCCTTCCAGGTGAAGTCCACAGCCACATCATCAAATGATATCAGCTTCTGTAATGGCACATTTCCATCAAGAAATTAGACCTGGGTCATGAGAATTCCAATCTGGAATTTCATTATGCTGCAAGTATGCTTTTGTCTTACATAAAATGATTGCAGCTGGCTATGTTATTTTTTCACAGGGAAAATTAAATAGCAAATTAGAAATATTTGACAATACGTAAACCTGGTCATTAAAATACACAGATTTGCAGGGCACTGGTAGCTTATGCCTGTACTCCTAGCTATTGAGGAGGCTGAGGTCTAAGGATCAAGGTTCAAGGCCAGCCCAGGCAGGAAAGTCCATGAGACACTTATCTCCAGTAAACCACCAGAAAACTGAAAGTAGCACTGTGACTCAAGTGGTAGTAGAGCACTCACCTTGACCTGAAGAGCCGAGGGACAATAACCAGGCCCAGAATTCAAGCCCCAAGACCAATAAAAAGTTACAGATTCCCTAATGAATGCAAATACATTTCTGCTGCTAGCAATAGAGACAAGATAAAAATTCTAAGGAGATAATAATGTGGCAGGATGACATTAAGTCTAAGGTGGTGTCTAAAAATTATATTATTATTTTTGATAAAATTTTAGTACATATAAGGGTAACAATGAATTAAACAAATATTTTCTCTGCATTTACATTTACTGCTTCACCATAAATTCTATTTGGACCTTCTATTAACAAGTACTCTCATAAGCAAGCAGAACACATTCAGGATATCACATGGTATACAGAACATAGAACATTACTAGATCAAAGAAAAGCAGTGTCCACATGAATGCTCAAAAAACAGTAACAGTACTCCAGAAAGTAGCTAATGATTTATTGGGCCCTTATAAGATTTGATTTAGTTCCCACATAAAAATATCCTAGGTTAACCATGTTTGGTTTAAATACTAAATATTGAAATGTGGTCATAGACATCCTGATATTTCCTTCCTATGTAAATAAGAACTGCTACCATGAAGTTTTGTAAACTTTCTCTACATTCTACAATACAAAATATAGGTGGGAGGGGAATAAAATGTTCCTTGAGAAGATTTTCATTGTAATAGACCTTCATGGAAGGTGGAGGCAAATTGATAGAGACTCAAGGAACACTCAAGGTGACAAAAATGATACATATGACCAAATGCTCAAATGTGTTAAATATTCCTGAGTCATTTCTCCAGTAGATCCCTAAAGATATATTTCCACTTTTATTAGTTAATAGTGAAATTCCTCAGAGATCAAAATCAATTCCTGAGCAAACTTCTGTGAGATTTTGCAACAAATGTTATTGCTAATAGAGAAATCCTCATCACTGTATTAATTTTTTTTTAATCAAAACTACCTATCTCATACTGGCAGTGAATGAAAATATTTAAAAGTAGTGGTATGGAAAAACCAAACTGAGTACCATGACAAATGAAGTTAAAGCAAAGATAACAGAATCAGGTGAAATCAAATTTTCTTGTAGTTTACAATTGGATGAAGCACGTCCTTTTCTGTATGGAACTCTGAAGTTGAGCTGAAGGGGGAAAAAGGTTTGAGAGGTTGGAATTCCAGCCTGACAGCATTAAGAGCACTGAGAGCTGGCTGCAGAAGGCTTAAAAGAGAATTCTGGAGATGGTTAAGAGACTGGAGTGCAGGCCTTTACCTTACTGTTGGAAAGATAGCATCTGAAACTGAGCTGCTG